CATGACCTTCACCATCATTAATTACAGCTCAGACAAATAAATAATAGGCTGAGAGGAGGCACTCAGTGGCTTCAGCCAAGCATGCAGTGTCTTGCTGTGGCTGTTAACATATTTGTCTGCTTCAACTATCTGCATCTTCTGTTTACAATGGGATTGATAATCTAATCAGCTGGTTACCTAACCCTAACCCACCTCTAATACGATGCATTTGTGACACATAATGCTGTGCATGTTGAACACAGACAAAACTTTCAGAGTGCAGAGCAGAGATCAGAGATAGCAAGTGAGGCATTTTGAGTCTGCGGATAATTCACCTTTGAGAAAACAAGTGAGGCATTGTGTATGCAAGTCAGAGTTCTGTACATTTCAGAATGTATTTATGTGCTCAGTTCCTGGCTTTGTTATTTCACGACAAGCTTGATAGTGTCAGTAACCTGGCCTCCCAGATGGTTTGGCTTTATCAGAGATCAGTTTTACTTTGTTTGAATCCAGGCATTTTGTGTATGTGTGCAGGAAAGTAAGACAGTCTAGAAAAATGGTCAGGATTTAGCTTACCGTTATACGGCAGCAAAGTCTTCAGAAGGTCGGGGTTTGTGTCCTCTGTCCTGCCAACTGTAAATGTTGGTTTATTTTAACCATGACGTTAATGTTCACTATCCTTCACAGAGTAGTTGTAGTTCCGTATACCTTATCCACAACTCAGCTGGAAAGGGCTGAGATTTTAAAAAAAACAAAACACTCTTTTGAGTGATTTTTGGAATTGCAATACTTTTTGGAAACATTTTGAAATAAAGGACTGAAAAACTGTTTTGTAATTTAGATATATAAACTTGTTGTCTACAGGTCACACATCTAGAAGTCTAATCAGTACATCTCTCCAGCATCAGTAAACAACACAGTGGCACAACAATTTGAAAACCTACACTTTCTGCATGAGAATGTTTTAATTCCTTGAATAATTGAGTCCTTGAATGGACTGAAGCAGAATCAGTAGAATTACTTTAAGCAGTCCCATTCTCCATATTGACTTGTGCATTAGTAAATCACATTTATGTTTCAACCAAATTTCTTTAAATCTCTTAAGTCTGAAAGTATACACTGTTTACACTGTTGTGTGATACAGGACTGACTAGTGATACATGTGTGCTACAGATCTGTGACTTAGGCAGAAACGAGGAAGCTGAGTAGGTGACTGTGGTTTTCGATCTATTCTCTTTCTATTTCTACGAATATTTGGTTACATGGTAGGAGACGTTGATAGAATACGGTATTTTGGAAAAATTATCTCATGCACTTTTTCTTGCCATGACTGAATGTTTTCAAGGCTGTCTGGAAATCAATCAATAGTACTTGGAAAACTGGCTTCTTTGAGGATCAAACAGCTGCTGAGACCAAAGACTGGGAGAGGCCAGTTCATCCAGCTGTTTGGCTTTGAATTGCTTTTATAATGTTTGTGTGCGTCTGTGATTGTATTTGTGTATGAGGTCCTTTTCACTGGAGTCTTGTACATGTGGATATTTGTGTGTGTATGTGAATGTGTTGGTCCTCATATCTTGTTAGTATTAGAGACTTCTCAGACTCCCATCCACTGAACATTGGCTGTTTATACTGGAAACTGCTCTCAATGTCCAAACGTGCCTCTCCCTGCCCGGGTCAGCCATCACAGAACATGTTTGGCTGCTGGGACTCTGTTTGCTGTCAGCTCCATGTTAGCTCTACCAAAGTGCACCATGGACAATGCTGGCAAATTCCTATCAAGTAAAATTCTAGCAGCAGCTCACTGCTGACCAAAACGTCCTCTGTTCCTCTGTAGTAAGTGAAACAAGCTATGTTCTCCCAAAACATGTAAGAGCAAGCAAAATGTAAGAGTTGATAATACTTTGCCAGTTAGTTAGATAATTGTTTTTATAGAATAATAATGCAATCTTTTCCTTTCAGTCCCTTTTGGCTAGTTACAAACTTTGACTGTGAATGGCTCACAGCAATTCTTCTGCACTATCTTGACGAAACCCCTTTAAGTTCCATAAAAAAATTTGCATTGTGTATTCGATAATGTGCCAAAGAGGTTGAAAGTTCAGCCAGGACAAACTTGGAGAGGAAAAAGCATGATTAACATTTTCCTGGTCTCTGAACAAATTTCTTGACTGCATCTATGTGTGCCATATTCAAACATTAATGTCAATCATTGCCAAATTGTGTTACACTTACCATAAACAAATCAGACCATGAATAAAATGATTTATAGCATGTGTTACTGTTGCTCATATTTCTCTAAATTAAAGACCTGATTTTTCCATAAACATGATAAAGTTTCTTGCTGTCATGGAGATAACACTCTCTTGCTTTGGAGTCACCGTCTCTGCCTCTTCAGTTTGTCTCTTTCAACTGACTGAAATATATGTTGGGAGAATCTGTTGTTTGACCGTTGTTGTTTCACACCTTTAGCTGTTATTGAACTTTGAAATCTTTAGCTTTGTTTGGAAGCACAGAGCCCTCCATCTCACCATTCTCGATGGGGAATTAGTATTGCAAATTATAAAGGCCAGGAGAGGCTGTCAGAGCGCTTGGCAATGTCAATGTTTGTTTATGTTAATGGTACATATGTCTCAAAGAAAATGTAGTAATAATTTGCAATAATAAGTAATAATTTGAAGTTTAAAATGCTATACATACTTTTTTTGAACCCAGTGCACAAAAATGTGGTTTCTGTGGGCAGTTTCAAAATTTGAGCTGTGTGAATGGGCAGCTTGGTATTGCTGGGAAAGAGTACATGTGGTCCGCCAACCTCCCCTTGATAATCGAGGGTTGATAAATGAACAATTGTGAGCTTTTGTTTCTACCAAACAGCCATGACCTTGGCTATTTATGCAGTGATTAAATCCTTATTATTTTCAATCCTGGCAAGATGTTAAGACTGCTCCCTGAAATCTCCCAGTGAGAGGAACCTGATTTAGTAATCAACCCACTTCATTTTCTGTTTAACACCACTCCCTTTAGTGCCACTTAATCTCAGTAAGACCACACATACTGTATGTGTAAAACCCTAAATCCCGGGCTGGGAGACCAGAGACATATTTCCTCTTTTCAACATTTCATTCCACTCTTTGGGCCACACGGAACTCTAAGACGACTCCCTGAGTAGTAGAGCAGAGCCATAGGAGAAACAGATTTCTATTCATTTTCAGTCCGCTTGGTAGGCTCTCCTAAACCATGTACATCTTCTTTAATGAATAGAGTCATTATATAACGTCCAGCCAATCAACTTTTTTCCCTTCACCAGATGATTCCAGCAGACAAATATAAACGTTACACTGGTTTATCATGAGGTAAGCTATTCAAGGCTAATTTGGGATAAATAAGGGAAAAGACATGACATGAATTTCCTTTATGATGTCCCCTCGTCCTCAACAGAAATATATGTGATACCCAGATGATCCCTTTTTGTGTCCTTTGAACAATTAACAGGAAATTCTGATTTATTGAAGGCATTCTTAAAACAAATGTGTTTCTATTTAGTTTACTGCTGGTCACAATGTGTTTGGGTAGACACATGATCCAGTGGGGAAGGGCAATATGATGATGTAAACAATTTCTTGTACTGCAGTGACATGGTTTACATCAGCTCTGCCGCGCAGCAAAGCACTTGAGGAAATGATCAACAATGTTTGAGCGTCTGACTGTGACTTTGAAAGGGAAGCCACACACAAACACAACATGACAGATTTACTAGACTCATTCAGAAACAACACACACACTTGTATTAACACAAAAAGACTACCACGCGAAATCAGGATAACTCATCTCATTCGATATTTGGACACGAATACACGCCTTCCACATGTGCATTTTGGACAGAGACACCAGATGCTCGCTGTGCAGACATGAGTTCGACCTTTTTAACTTGAGAGAATGACACCCGCCTGATCTCTTCCTTCCCAGCTGACAGCCGTTTTATCAGCTGCTGTTACAGACAGGAAGAAGGAAGTATTCGTGCCCTCTGCTTCCTCTGGACCTCTGTGTAGAACAAAAACGTCTTGGTGCTTGTTTCCTCAGTCACTGCTTCTTTTGTTCTCACTCTTGTGTGTGTTTGAATGTCTGCGCCTGGCGTTCTAACACAGTCTGCTTGAATTTCTTTTCCAGTCTTTGTTTCGATCTGCCTCCAGTTTTAGGAGCATTAGTTGCCTAATGCAGTAGTAGTAGTTTATTTCTGTCTTTTTTTTCTTTTAAACCCTCAAAGTTAAATTCAGAGTTATTGTTGGTGTCTTCATATCACCTACATCTCAAAACTCACATTTCACATTATCATCACATTGTCATTTTAGCACATAGGCATTTGTGATGTTTTACATATCTTGACAAAGTTCCACTGACCTGAATGTGATGAAACTTGTTCTACAACATCAGCATGTCACTTTGGCTGAAATCCAAAGACCAGAGATCCCGAGTTGCGACACGGAGGCTATCACATTTCATCCAATAAAGCTATTTTCTTGGCCCTCATTGCGAACATGTGGGATCAATAAGCCTTGTTAAGAAATTATTTTGGTTCTCTTCAATACCTTGAAAATCAACTTATCTGTATTTGGATGACAGTTAGTTTTGCACTGTGTGATTTGATTTATTAAGGGCCCTTCCATGGCATGTGTGTACACTACAGTGTGTGTGTGTGTGTGTGTGTGTAGGAGCAAATGGTCACATCCTGTACTGAGACAGAATTATGCTGTTGTACCATGACAATTTAACAAAAGAACTTTACAGTGATGTAAAATAATAACTGAGTTCCAAAAATCCATAGATCTAATTGAATTGAATCCGTACACAAATTGAGAACGTCTTCTTCACAAAATAGTGCAGGGACACCATAAGCATGTCCATAAGCCTGGCAATCTTTAAGTAAACTTTGTGTTCAAATGGACATAGCAAAATATTTGATCCAACATAGATTATACTATACCCAGATACACGTTTTTGATCTATGCGTATGAATATGTGTTTTTCAGACGGAGTGTGCCAACTTTGTTCGCCTCCTGCAACCCTACAACCGGACCCACCTCCTGGCCTGTGGCACCGGTGCCTTCCAGCCCATGTGCGCCTTCATCAACGTGGGGCACAGAGGAGAGGTAAGCTGGGGGGAAATCCTAAAGGAAATGTTTTGAAATTGTAAAAAAAAGACTATATATTGAGTTTTGTCATTAGCATGAACTTTTCCTGTGTTATGACTCTACATTATCAGTCATGAACTGCCTTTGGAAACGATAAAACTCACAGAAGAACTTGAGAAGTAACACTGGACAATTTGTGAACAAATGCAAGTTGATGCAGACACTGTAGTGACTGTTCTTGCTGAAGTTGCAAGGCATAGAATTTGGTAGGGATGCTAGGGACATGTCCCTACCAATATCCAGTGACTACTGAATTGTCCCTAGAAATAATTTCCACAAAATACAATATACCCACTGTTTTCCACCAGTATCTAGTCAATGTATTTGGTGCACAAACAGATCTCGTTCGAGTCCAAAGTTTTGAAAGATAATGTCCTCGCCCCTACTCTGCGTCACAGTGGTTTGGGCCACTGCTTACCTTTTTCAGCACCCTCATTGACTTTATTTCTAAAATGCGACTAGGAACAAATTTAGTGAGTTATTCAGACCATCAGGGGGCAAGTGACAAATATACAAAAGTCTATTATATTGTAGTCTGATTTATTGCCCTGCATTCTGCTCAGAGTAATCTCTGTCAGGGGCTCTTCTGGCAGCAGCACAGCGTCTCTCCCTCTCGCTGGCAGGAGTGAGAGTTACTATGGTTATAGGGACGCTTTGTGTCTCTGTTGATCTGAGCACAGAAGGAGGAGAACAGGCAGACAATACAGAAGAAAAACAAGATGGGGTTGAAGATAAGCTGCAGACTTTGTAGTGATGAGATTTTCCCCCACCCTTCCACCCCCTCGCTGGGAGATGTTTTTATTGTCCCCACCAAGAGTGAGATGAACAGTCCACCCTTGTAAAGTGGCATTAAAGAGGTGGTATTTGCTCATTTTCAGGTTCACAATCTTTTTTAGGGGTTGTACCAGAACAGGTTTACTGGTTTAATTTTCAAAAAACATCATATTTTTCTCATACTGCACATTGCTGCAGCTCCTCTTTTCACCCTGTGTTGTTGCACATTGCACATGCGCAGTTCCCAGGTAAGGACTACTAGCCAATCAGAAGCAGAGAAGGGCGGGTCGTAAGAAACAAGGTAGTGTGATCCAAATCTAAGCCACTTCTGACTGCAACCGTAACCTAGCAGATGGTATAAGTTACTCTCAAGTCCACAACATCATTGTTCCACATCTTACCATAAGCCACTACAAAAATCACCATATTTCAACTCAATTTTACATAAAAATTGGCCAAACTATTTGAACGTTTGCTCAGTAGCTTTCACATCAGGTGTAACATTAGCATTATAGCTATAACTTTATGTTAGCCAACGTTTACAACAACTCCGCACTTGAACAGTCTGTAAAGTTACATTGCTGTGTTTATTTTAAATATAATTCACAACCAATAAAGCATACTTACAGGTTGTGATTGTGAATTTCCAGGCCCAAACAGAGTCTGTTGAGAACTGTTGCTGGTGTTCTGACGATCTATGCTGCCTTGCTGAAAAATGCTACCATAGTGCAAATCGATAGACTCGACTCTACTCGGCCCTGCTCCGTTTTCCATTGCAGATAGTACCCAGAGATAGTATGTAGCTTGTCGTCATAGCGACACACAACTGCCATGACGTAATGTTAGTTGCGACACACACACCAGCGATCCACACAGCTTTCTCTTTTTTGAGTTAAACGTTTCAACATTCCTCAGAATGTAAAGACAGATAAGCGGTTTGAAAACCTTCCAGCTGTGTTTTCCTCTGCCGTTGTTGCTGCAGCGGTCTGTGTGACGGCGGGAGCAGAGGGCTCTGTGAGCGGACGGCTGGCCGGCCTCACACGCTCCTCCCGCACAGTGGCTGCGGGGAAAGCAGCCTGTGCCAACTCCGAAAATATTCAAGCACATTTTTGTTCCGCCATCACTTCTCGTAAAACTGTCACTCAAAACCTCTCAGAAGTGGATTTAGTGATGAAATTCCATATGAAAACTGTAAAATATAAAACTTTCTGTTGCTGGCCTCTGTCTGGTGCAGCAGTGATGATGCAGTGAATAGTGACGATTCTCTCTGACCAATCAGCAGTCTGTCGTGTTTTCATGTTACATTTTAGTTTCCCTCAGCTCGCTTGGAACCTCGACGGAAGCAGGTACAAACATTTCTTCTGCATCATTATACATAATGAAGTATTGTACGTATGAGATGATACAGAATCAATGGATGGCCTTTAAGCAGTCCTATGGAGGAAACCCTAGCTAATGGAACAAATATATAATATGGTTGGTGCCAAGTTGTTTTCAGAAAAACACTGTTCAGACTGGCCCTGCTCTGTGCTCAGATCCCCGGGGTTCAAGGTTAAGCCTCAGCAGGCAGCTTTGCTAAGACTGTTTCTGTAAGGCTACTCAGCCGCAACGTGGGCCCTCTATACATCTTTTCAACCGCAATGGCTGGCTCTCTACACAGCCACTTAGCTCTGTTGGACTCTCTCGGCAGAGTCTCGCACTGTTGGCCATTTGGAAGACAAGAATCAATGAATGGAGCTATTAAGAAAAACTCGTAGTTTCACGGCGGTCCTCCAGTTGCCCCGTGTGCCGCCATGCCTGGCCCAGCAGGAGGGAGTCAAACTGGGCATGAGGAGAGAAGAAAGCTGGATGTTGGCAAAGAGCTAAGGAAGGGAAATGAGACAGGAGGGTGGAAGAGTGCCAGTCTTTTAGTGGGAAGAGTGTGTGTGTGGAGGATTGTGTGGCTTGTGTGTGCATATAAAGTACAGAAGGTGCATGCAGAATTTTCCTTTTTTTACTTATGGAATTAAGTGTTTTCCTGTATACACTGGTCTGCATGGTTGAGAACAAGAAAAACAATAACTGGAGATACAAAAATAGGTCCGAAGGATGGTACTGGGCTATAAAGAACAGAACGGTCACGCTATTAAAGTAAGACACCTGTTTGAATGCGTTGCAGTGATTCAGCTAGCCAAGAACAACACTGAGTTTTAGATATTCGAGAGATTTGTAGAAATTTATGCTTTAACTTGAGGTTTGCGGTGCATTTCACTCGTAAATGTCTGCAGGCACAACAGGGTAAGACTTGAATGACATACACAGTTTGAAGCAACACATGATCATCATAAATAATTCGGTTTAGCCAAGAGGTAAAGTGTGTAAAAGCTTCTGTTGTTGACTAGACCAGGAGATGATGATTGTGATGATGGTGGTGAAGGTAGTGCAGCTCTCTTCACAAACATTGCTGCATTTGTTTTATTTATTCCAGGGAGTGTGAGTATGTGCTTTTTCATGTCGAGGTGTATATGAATTGACCCCCAGGTTGTGTCAGCTAGTCAGAGTGTCTGCCTGACTGGACGACACCACGGGAAGCCTGTCCATTTATTTAACCAATCGTTAACTGGTGGAGAACACACACCCATTTGTTTGTCTGGCCTCTTGAGGGAACCGAGGCAGCGAGCCCTCGGACTGGATTCTGGGTGGGATGACCTTTGACCCTGTAGGCGTTTCATCTCAGATAGGGGCAGAAATACACATACTCTTTCTGTCTCTCTCACGCCACCTTTCCCTCTCTGTCTCGGTGTTGTGTTGTCGTCTGTCAGACAATTTTTATGCAGAACTTCTGTCATCCAAAAATAAAAGATGACGTAAAATCATGATGGAAAACATTGTAGTAGTTAGTTTGTAGTATTTTTCTGAGAGGTCGTCGAGAGCAGACAACATTTCAGAACCACCACAACTATTTTGAAGTTGTTTTGCAATAAGATTTAATTTCCTCTAGGTTTATTGAACAAATGTGTCTCTATTCTTTATTGGCAAAAACTGTTTCTTTCTTCGAGTATGAATCTTGAATCCTAAAACATAAAAATTATAAATAATAATAATAATAATAATAATCTGTTTCTTGAATCTGTGTTTCTGCCTCACTCCTTCTTTCTCACCCACATAAAGTCCCCATGGTGAGTGACACAGCTGCCTGAGCAGTGTCATAGATGTGAAAATAAACCACCATATTACAGTGACGACATACACCGGACCCGACCACACACACACACACACACACACACAGTCAAATAAAACAAATGACACAAACTTGAACACATAAATATGCAGAAACACAGACAGAAACACACACAAACATGATGAAAGACATGCACATTCAAATGTAAATATACAGAAACAAATGTGTAGAAAGAAACAGATTGATACAGACAGACACACACACACATAGGAAAGCAGACATTTATATGCACCTAACAACAACGGACATATCAAACACATTACAACACACAAATTTCTGACTGACTTCCTCAGCAGAGCCATATTGTAGACTGATGCAGTTCAGATGCTCAAGTTTTCACTGAAAGCCTTTTAACTTTTTATTCACAGTTCTGCTTTTTGGCACTTAGAAAGTAACTTGCTGAGTAACTCACTTCCTCTCTCCACGATGGCACACTTCCATGACAACCACTGTAAGTGCTGCACACGGGACACTACATAAATCCACTGGGGGGAAAAAGCTCTTCCACAGGGCCAAGAGAACAGCATCAGCTTGGATAAAGTGGACTTAAAAGATTGAAAGCCTACTAAAAAATTAATTGCTTATAAATCACCCTTTTATTTTTCCCATGTATGTTGCTTCTGGATCAAAGCCCTCCTCACTGGAGATTAATGAAGCCTGCTATTTTACTGCTTCTTCATTTTCTGTAATATTTGCTCCATTTCTAGTCCTTTTACTTTGCAATTTATATCTTTGCATTAGTGCGTTTTATTGCTATGAATTACAACTTTTCACTTGTAAGAGGAAACGTGTGCTATTGTGTCTTTTAAAATGTACAGTCTCACTTTAAGACTCACTTTAAGGCAGTTGATTTAGGGTCAAGATTGCCAGCGTTAGGTTTTGATTCTGGAAAGGTGTAAGGTTATATCATGGATAATGTAAACGGAAATGTATGCGTGTCAGTGGTCACTTGTCTCACTAGTTTTGTAGTGGGGGTCCTGATGTATTTTGCTTGGCACAGCTGTGTACAGAGTGGCCTGGATCTCTCTCTCTCTCCCTGTATTGCAGCACTTGTGTGTATTTGTCTTGGCAGAGTTTGGCCAAAGTGACTCTGACAGTCTAATCAGCTGTGAAGGCAGCTGCACCATTCCTCCGGATCATAATGAGATAACACAGACACAAACATGCACACATATAGACACCCCCAAAACTGCAGAAGTGTGCAGTGAAAAGTGTGTCAGTGCACCCAGATCACACACACACACACACACACATGCACACACACACCTAGACAGGGAATACAGAGATGCAGTGACATTCAGTAACAGGAGAGGAAAGAGGTGCTGAAAGAATAAGGATGACTAACGAGGGAGCTAAAAGTGCTCAGCAGAAATAAAGATGGAGAGCAGAAAACAGATGGAAATAAGAGAAGAAATTCAAGATAGAGAATGAAAGCAAGTAGATAAATGGAAGGAAGGAGGGAAAAGGTTCACTGGGCGACAAAATAAACAAACAAAACATCTACAAAATTATGTATTTTCAAGCTAACAAAGACATTTTTTATTGTAAGTTTATGATATAAATAATTGTGTCTGCACAAAAGCTGTCATCTTCTGCTTGGATTTCCACTTTTGGAACGGAAGAAGTACATGTGGAACAACTTTAAAGGAGTGAATAAATACCGTGCATGGACTCAAGTGAAAATGATCTTCCTAAATCATGTTGATGCACAGGACGGGAAGACTGTGGAGCAAGACAAGAAGAGTATTCCTTAAATGTCCCTCATCATCTCAAATGTGATCAAGTGTGAGCATGTGTTTAAGCACTGTGCATGCTGGTAAACTGTACGTGTTCACTTTGACACCTGTAAAACTCATTCAGACCTCTTTATGAACATTCTAAACGCAACATATGGATCAAATAAGAAATAAACTGTCTCTCCTTATTTCCTGAGACTTGTTGGATATGCCAGTGTATATATAATCTTTTGGCGTGTTTCTGACAGTAGCAATTGGCTGTCTGTCACTCAGCACGTATTATTGCACGTGTGAGTATGTGTTGGTGCACGTACAAAACTGCATGTGCGTGCGTATTGTCCACTGTGTTTTGTACAGTATTTTTATCCCTCCGACTTCAATGTCATCATCTCCCCTATGATCTCCGTTCAGTCGAAGACTCCCCCTCCCAGTAACAATACTCCATTGTCTATTAGAGGAACAGAGACTCATGCACACAGAGTTCATTGTAAGGACACTTAAATCAGTAATAAGGAATCAAAGAGGAGGTTTAACTGTAGGTCCAGTCCCCTTCTATTCCCTTTTTATCCTGGAAAGTCAACTACATTTGGTCACACATTGATCACACCCAGGCTGCTCTGGCAGAGACAGCCTGGTACACTAATGCTGTTGAAGTGGGAGTAGAAAGGCTAAAAACAAAAGGCCTGCTGTCCACAGTGACCCTGTTTTGACCTGACAAATCACACAATCCAAGGATGTGGCCAGTGTTCGTCAGGTGAACTTGACTAACCAGTGAATGACGAAGAAAGAACTATTCAGTTATTTTAATGGCTTCCTTCACTGTTGGAGTCAGAAAAAAGACTTTGATGCAGTTTGATGTAAAATGGAGACCCATAAAATTTGCCTCTTTTCCCTCCTTGATTGATCACGCTAACAACGCAGTTCTTCTGTTTTTCCAAACAGTCTTGTTGATTCTCAAGCAAATGAAAAAAGTTTTCATGACTAGGGTATTAGTTCTGTCTACCACATCAGAGTGAGACAGAGTGGAAACCTTTCACATGTTAATTTTTATATATTAATTTGTTTGTGTGTCTACATTACATGTTAACACGTGTACAAAGGGCACAGCCTAGAAAAAATAGACAAAAAAATGTAGATGTCATGGATTATGACTTTATATATTTTCTTGGTCAGGGTTGAGTGAGTTTTATGACCTTAATGTTCTTGGACCCTGTTCCCATATGAACTGTAAAAAAAACTATTTTCTGTTTTATTTTAAGTGTAGTTTTTATTTGATAACAGTGTTGTGTGCTTTCTTTTTCTTTGTTACCCTGTTGAGTCCTCAATATACAGTTCAGCTGTAAGGGTTGATCTGCAGTGGGAGCTGGGTGGGAAACTTGTCTCAACTCTGGCAACTGCACTGATCCTGCATTTCCTTGTTTCTCAGACACTGTCTTAGTTCTCAGACAGACTCAGAGTTCAGTGGAAGGACAAATAAATCTGAAACATAGGCTTAAACTGAAAACTAGCTCTTGTCCCACTTCTTTGAGTGCACAATGGGACAGAAAAGCAGAAGAATGCCCTTTTGGTTTGTGAAATTAACCCCTTATTAAAGGTCTGGGTTGGTCCACTATGCGGCCATATCTATTGAACTTAAAAGTGAGTAAATCGAATGTGCTCCAATTGGCTAACCTTGTTTCTAAAGTAGAAGGTGAAAAAGAATTCCTGATGGAAGGATTGACGAAGAGATTATAATACAGTTATTCATTTTAAAGTCCATAATCAGAAGCCCATGAAGCAAGTTCATATATCAGATGTTTCTGGAGAATAAATAACTGTTCATGTGTCTTCTCCTCCCCTAGCATGTGTTCACAATGGACCCTACGAATGTGGAGAACGGACGAGGAAAGGTTCCACATGATCCCAGCCTCCCCTTCGCTAGCACCTTCAGTGGTATGTCCCATGTTGTCTGTATTTAACAATTTCTCAAGTTTTTTATGGACTAAAATGCTATAGGTAACCAGTTTCACCACATAATGTGGCTTACGTCTTTAAAGTTTTATTGAAAAACCAGCCGAATGGTTACAAAAATGCCCTCGCTATAACCCACTGAAGATATCCGATCCAAAAAAGTGTGTATTGTATAAAGTCTTTAATATACTAACAGAATATCAGTTTCACAAGTTGACCTGCTGCGACAAATTTGTAAAATTGATAATGGACATTTTGTAGCTTGGTTTTCTTTATCTGCCATATCTAACATTTAAAATGCTGAAGACAGATCTGTCTGTTTCTACACATTTCACCTCTCTGCACAGATCTCTGCTATGTTTTAAAATGATATTAACCCCAAGAACAGCCATCAGGGAAAGCTTCTTTGCCTCTGACACCTATACACTTGCACACACACACACACACACACACACACGAGTTGTGCTGACTAGATTAAATAGTTCTGGGCGTTTCTCTCTGACTGTCATTAGGTATCTAGTTTGTGAAATTACACTGATTTATACCAGTGACAGACAATCCTGGAAGCCACTGAGCGTGGAAGTATGTATGTGTATGTGTGTATATGCAACCCTCTATCCCACCTTCCTCTCTGTGCATCTGGGTGCTTTCAGCATTAGAATTTATCCCACAATACATCATATTTGGCAGAAGAATGTTAAATTAGAGCCAAATACTCATTAGTTTGGACCTCAGCAGAGATATACAGTGGACACAGATCAATACGCACAAAACTGTTGAGGTAGGCCTGCAGAAGGTAACTGTAAAATGAGTGACAGAGATTTGGAATTGTACATGCTAGGAGAGGATAGTAATTTGGGTTGTTCACCTACAACAGTTGAAATGTCACTTTCAACATTGCTCCTCACGGTCAGCAGGGTTGTGTAAGATAACCAGACAGTGTGAGTTTAAGCTCCTGTTACGTATTAAACTACTTATATACACACAGCCTCACATGTGTTCCATTAATTTATTAACTTCAGAGTCTGACTAACTACCATATTCAGTTTTTCTGATTTGTCTCTTGTAAATAATCTTTAAAGTAAGAAACAAATAGTTTGACCAACATAGTACAGCACATGATGATAAAATAAAGAAATAGAGACAGGGATGTCAAGAGTGAAACAGTAAAATATGATGAAAGTCCTGTTTTTTAGATATTAATCCTCTCCTCAATTTCAGGATTGCCCCCCAAAATCCATAAAGCTCTACAGGTCCTGTCATCACCAATTACTGTATCTATATGTGTCTGTGTCTGTTTATGTTTGCGTGTGCTAACATGAGTTTGATTTGACTGTATGTGTGTTTGCATCTGTCTTTATGTTAAAGGATGTGTTGCAATGGACAAATAAGATAAGAATAATTACTTTACACCCATGTGACCAGATGCTATTACTGCATTGGTCACTATGCTGGGGAAAATTTAAAACAGTTGCATCTTCAAAACCTATAGTGGATTGTTCTGAAAAAACTGTCTTTTATAAGTCTTCATTTTCTAAGCAAACTAAGGTTGCTGTCTTGTCTTATGACAGACTGTTAACGGGTTTTTTTCAAGGTTCATGTACTGGAGGTGTCACAGGAAAGATTTCATTTTCAGGAAAATCCATTTTTGGAGTTGTTGAAATTTAAAGTGAGTCCGCAACTATGGTCTTAGTCTCAGTGGAGGATGTAATGTATGAAGTGTTTTTGAGTTTTGGTTTAAGATTACTTTCCCAGTGTGTTCTTTATTGGATTGTTCAATTTCCTATTCCCTTCCCTTCCTCATTTGCCTGAAGCTCATTTGTTTCTGTCACCAATGATTTCCTTATTTTTGTCATGTACCAAACTTTTTCCTTTTCCTTTTGCATTTTCCCTAATGTCTTTGTCTTTATTACTGCTGTCAATTTACATTCTTACTGTACAACCTTTTCCTCCAATCCCTTCCACTTTTTTCATCCTCTCTATCCACTGGTTTTCCTGTTGTACTTATCCATTATTTTCCATTCTTACTTCCCTTTTAAACTTTTTCCCTCACCCACCATCTCTGTCCCTGCCTCTCTGTAGGTGGGGAGTTGTATACAGGACTGACGGCAGATTTCCTGGGTAGAGACTCTGTGATCTTCAGGAATATGGGAGGTCGCTCCACCATGAGGACAGAGACTGACCAGAAGCTTCTCCATGGTAATGTGTCACTGTTTTTAGAACTTTTTGCATTCAATAGAAAAATAAACAATGTAAAGTAAACAATATTATTTTCCATATCAGGACACCTTGGAGTGTTTTATCATTATTATAACATTCTATCACAAGCAAAATTTTCTTTCATACTTACATCCACATCTCTCCGTGCCTTGCATCTTCCTCTGCAGACCCTAAGTTCATCGCTGCCCACCTCATCCCAGACAACAGCGACAGAGACAACGATAAAGTGTATTTCTTCTTCACTGAGAAGGCCACAGAGGCAGGGGACAGGGAGGGGGCCATACACACACGTGTCGGACGAGTGTGTGCGGTGAGATACTTAAGAAACTGTTTATGTGTAGACATTTATTTTGTGATACAGGACATGAAGATACTGTAAATAGGGTTACAGGAGGCAACTCAACAACCTCGCATAGCAGTTATGTAAAGGTTCAGTGTGTAATATTTCTGTGGATCTATTGACAGAAATGCAATATAAGATCCATAACTATATTCTCAGTATCGGGCCACCGTAGCTGTCCTACACTCTTTGAAAGTGCAGGGGGCAGTGAAAGACTGGACAGTTGGTTGCACTTCGCAGCCTCACCGCTAGATGCCACTAATTCTTACACACTGAACCTTTAAGAACTTTTGCTTGCCGATGTTTGAGATGTATGTGACTAAGTCTTGTGCTCTCCCTCCATTCTAGTAGAAGTTAATTTTGTTAGCTGTGCTCAAAGCATTGAACAATGACAATGAAAAACTCAACAACTCACAAGTTGTCTGTCTAGAAATGATATCCCACTTACTTAGGGTCATCCAAAGACGTTAGATACAGAAACACACAGAAAGATTTAGAGATCATCTGTTGGCAGGTGAGGATAAGTGAAGCCAGATGGTCAGGTGGGTTGTCAGTTCACTTGCATATGGTCATACAAGTATCCAGGGAATGAGACATCTGCAGGGGCTATTTGAGGTTGTGGAGTTTGGAGAGTCTGGGAGTCGTTTTTTGGTTATCTTGATTTCTGGAGGATCCGTTATGGGTCTCAAATTTTGAGTATCTGCCAGGCTTTTCAGTCTGATGTGTAGATTCACACTCCCACTGGAAAAAATGTTATATGAGAACCCAAACAGAGAAAAAATGAGGTACAAAGAGTAATTTGATTTAGGGGCTGTTTTCTACATGATCACTTTCAGGATTAACTTCCCAGGCCAGGAGGTAATGGTTTCGATTTATCCTCCTATTTTGACGGTTTAAAAACCCTCTTATGGAAAAGACAAATGTCTTTTACAGCAAACAAATATTTAAATTTACCCAAAGGACTGTGAAGGCATCTTGATATACAGAATCACACGAATCCTTTCTCCTTCCAAACACACACACACACACACACACACACACACACACAGCAGTCAAATTGCCCGATTGTGATCCCCATCTGCTCTGCACACTCTCACTTTCAAACTCTCACACAATATACAGAAATACACAAATACCTACACTCACAATACTCACACAATACACAGCTGCAGCATTTCCTTAGAGACTGTCGACTGTGCCGGAAAAGTTTGTACGAACTTCTCAGACAATAATCCCACCTAAACCTTCAAATTATAACTTTCTTTGTCATCCTCGTCTCCATCTCTGCTTCTCTTCTTTCTCTCCATCTGTCTCTTTCTCTCTCTACATACACGTATTATAGTATTTCCTCTTCAGCCCTCTTTTTCTCCCTCAGGCGACTCTGAATTGTTGTCATCACTTCCCCTGTGGTGCTTCTTGCCAAGAAGCCAATTATCACCACTGATCCTCAACGCACACACACACACACACACACACATACACACACACAGAACATGATTACCTCAGATTTGATGAATAAGGGACAGCGAAGGACACACACACACATGCACACACTCCCTTGGTATCTGTGTTATGAGTCCCAACACATTTATTCTTGCAAAAGACGAGGGACTGTGCTCACAAAATATTCAAATTATGTGTCCAAATTATGTAGCCATTTTTGTACACACAGTCCCCCAAATGTAGGGTCCATCTTCATCTTCTTGTACTTCTGTCTTTTTTGCCAGAATGATGTAGGAGGCCAGAGAGTGCTGGTAAACAAATGGAGCACCTTCATCAAAGCCAGACTGGTCTGCTCTGTGCCGGGACCTCATGGCATTGACACACACTTCAACCAACTGGGTGAGATACACAAAAACATTTTGATGCTTTTGCACACACACTATCTGCACACAATTGTCATATTTACAGTTTTTTTCAGTTGCTAAGATGCAATGGTCAAAACTGAAGCCACATTTTCAAAACTCTTCACACAGTCACATGCATCCTGGCCAAACAGTTAAATTTACCTCCAAAAGTCACTCAAACCACCAAAACACTTCATATAAGCCTCAAAATAAACTTGTTCAGCCAAAATACTGGCAACAATACCCACTCAGAAAGCATACATTGTCACTCATAACTCACTGACCTACAAAACACTAACAACAGGAAGCATTACTTACATTTGTTGAACTTTTATCCTTGAAATGTGACTGATATTTTCATATAAATCAGTATTTCATTATAGAATACAATTGTTTTCAGTCAGTTTGATACATTTCTCAGATCAGAATTGAAATTCTACTTGTTCTACCTCCACATCATCTAGTCGCTTGTGCACATCATATGTAAAAGCAATTTCTCAGTCTTTTGAGATATTGCAAATTGCACATGCTTTGACACATTTATACAAATTATTATGTATTTGTCTGCTGTTTCCTACATTATCAAATACTTACTGTATGTCCTGTTAATCACAATATATTACAGTATACTGGTTTTTTGTTGAGAAGTCTTACCCCCCAAAACATCTAGACATAAGTTCATTGTAAGTCACTACATGCAAAATGGTTGAACACGTCATAATCTGCATTTTCTTACATATGTCTATTAGACTTGTTTTGTAAACGTACCCTACAGTAAACTGATGAAGTTCTGATCTGTTGTGCTGTGAATAAGAATCTGTGGCCCAATAGACAGGAACATCAACCTGAGGGGGTGTTTTCATGTTTCCATCTCTTATTTTGTAATTGTTTCCGTTGTGCTATGCAGTGCTGTAAAATAGTCTTGTTTTTTCATTTTCTGCATCACAGTGACATGATGTCAACAAATTACAGTGCATACAGTAAAGTGTAACTGTGAATCCTGTCCAATCTCTTGCAATTGTAGTGTATAATATATGTGCATTTGACGCATAACAGTTTAAAATAGCACTGTAGCAGCTGGACAGAGGGTCAGTGACCTAAGGGGAGAGCAGTGATTGATGGTCATGTAGGGACTGGAACCATCTATAGAATTTGACTTCTAACCCTTGTTTTTTTACCTCAGAATAGTACTGAACCCTTCTATGGTATCTAACATATACCTACACACACCCTATATAAGCGATGTTTGATGTACAGAGAGACAGAGTGGCCATCGGGCTGGGTCACTCTCCAAGCTGCTGCAGAGCTTGTAATTGATGCTGAACTCCTTGATGTAATAAACTTTTATGATCAAGAAGAGTGTCAAGCGGATTTCTTCTCAACACATCATCGCAGAATTATTGTTCGGACACCACACAATATTTACTGTAACTCTGTACTGTTGAAATTGATCTATGCCATACAGAAAAAGTACAGCCTTGTGCATTTTCAATCTTTGTCATCAAAAGTTTAGCCATAGTTTACCAATACAAATAGTTTTGCAAATGTACCAATGCGACTGAGAAAAAAATGGAAGAAACCTGTAACATATTTTCACTTTATTGACTGTACTATAGTATGTGTTACAAGAATCAGAAATGCATTCAGTAATTTACTTGTGAAAAAAAGAAGTTCCTGACATTTCAGTGCTGCAATACACTTTTTTCAGTTGTTTACATAGTTAACACTGGTACGTGAGACCCAATGACCACAGTCTGTAATTGATGCACCATCCCCTTGAACCAATTCTGCTAAAATATAAGCACATTTCCTGCTTTACACTCAGCTTGCAGTTTTACAGTAAAACCACATTCAAAACATTGCACATATTTTTCTAAAAATGTATGTAAATGTTCTGCAAAGATTTTCTATATATATCAAAATATGCAGGAAATTTGCAAACATTTTGTTTTGGACGTGTTTTGAACAGTTTTGAACAGTGTGTTAGCATTTGAAAAATGTGCTGCAGATAAACAGTGTTTTGCAGGTGTTGATGTTGTAATGGGAAAAGAGTTCATGGATTTTGGAGAAAGTGGTCATTGAATGCATTTTGTGTGAAAGCAATGAAAAATGATTCACAGTTTGGTCTACATGCACTTCTGTTTCACTGACTGTGTGAAGAGTTTTGCCAATGTGACTTTGGTTTTGATCAGTACAGGTTAGCACGCATTCACACATTATACTGCATTGTAAGTAACAAACAAATGGCTTTGTCTTTTTATACAAAACAGAGGATGTTTTCCTGCTGAGGACCAAGGATGAGAGGAACCCAGATGTCTTTGGGATCTTCAGCACCATCAGGTGAATAACCATAAAACTTCATAAGTGTTTAGTGTATCTATACATAAACTACTCTACCTTACTCTACCTTAAACCTATCTACCTTGCAGTTCCTCTAATAATTTAATTATTCATTTGTGATTTTCCTTGATTCAAAGGCAGTGTATGTCAAAAGGCTTCCTACAACTTGAAGGTTTACATGTGCCATCTTCAATGCTAGAGCTTCTAGCCTAAAGTAATTCAATATTTGCGATTTGGAAAGTTGTAATGTTCTATTTGGTCAAATGTCACATTAGAGGCTTCTCCACTCTCACATAATTAAAGTGCAACATAACGGCAGCTAAAAATAGTGTGTTTGCTGACATCCAGTGGTTTATCTCCTCACCTTTCTGCCACGATGCATCAAGGTGAGGAGGTCGTGAGGTTGCGTTGTCCAGGGTGACAATATACGGTGGCATTACTGTTGAGTGCACCTGTAGACACACTCAACCAGTTAAAAAAAGGTTTTCGCTGGGTATTAAGTTACTCAAAGTGATGTTGTTAAAACCTTATGACCTCACTTGCCTTTCATTTAATAATACTGTTTACTTTAAAACCATCACAAATCCAAGTTGCCTTAATTTTGAACAATTTCTTACAATGTCATAATTCTTGTGTTCAACTGTAAATTTCCCCTTTCTCCTTCACAGTAATGTGTTCCAGGGTTTTGCTGTGTGTGTTTACCGTATGGCTGACATCAGAGAAGCCTTTAATGGTCCCTTCGCTCATAAAGAGGGCCCTGACTACCAGTGGGGGGCCTACGAAGGCAGGGTCCCTTATCCAAGACCAGGCGTGGTGAGTGATTGTTCAAGCATATCACCGCTAGCCCTAACTCAAATATTTTAGATGTCCAACCTTAACTGTACTTTTACCATAATGTGATAGACCACAATATTCATTCATCAGTCATTCATCAGGGACAACAAATATTAATTTGCATCATGTAAATGTGTCAGATTTGGCCAAGGGCTCTGTACTTGAAATAAATATCAAAGTTGAAAAACATATCAAACGCTAGAGGAGTTATATCTCTAACTGACTAAGACAGTGGTTAATGCAGTAATTTCAATGTTAAATGCTATTTAAAATACAATACAATGCTGTTTTGTTGGATAACTGAACAGCACCACAAACTGCAGCCCCAGAATTATCATACAGTTGAATCAACACCTCTCTAAAACAGTTTTCATTAAATGTGCAATGTGGTATTCCAGCATTACATTTTACATTACAGCAGTGTACTTGAGATAATTTAGTTCTGCAACTTAGCATGGTCATTTCAGTATAATCTATATATATATATAATATATTTTGGGCATAAGAAAATGGTTTGAGTTCCAGGGCTAAGAAAGATTGTTATATGTAACAGTATTAACAGTGTGCTACATTACAGAGAACTACAAACCGTGATAATGAGCCTAGAATTTACATTTTACAAGGGGCACGAAGCAAGATGCCTGTTAATGACAAGTGGTCACTGGGGTGGTGATGGAGCAGTGGTAAGACACCTTTGGTGTGAGAGAGGGGTTCAATTCCCCACTGTGACACATCCACCACTGCGTCCCTGAGCAAGACACGTAACCCCTAGTTGCTCCAGAGGCGTGCAACATCTGACCTACTTGGCAATTGTAAGTCGCTTTGGATAAAAGCGTCAGCTAAATGAATAAATGTAATGATTATGAATGAGTCAGAAAACAAGCAAGGGGAATGAACATTTTGTTAACAGTATAACATCACACAGGTCTCGTTGTTCAAAACACTGGAATGAATAATGTTACTTACAAATTAACTCGATACTGTAATTCCATGAAACAGGCCTCCACTAGTGTGTTTGCTCCTGGTCCATGTTTACTGGGAGTCTGCTGAGACCCGTTCCATTGCTCCCTCGCCCAGCTCCGGTTTTGGTGCTCATTATGGTGCAGCTCCCCAGCAGCATTCCCCCGCTGGTTCCCTCACCCAGGGCCTGAAAACCACTTCCTCTTCTGGGTCCAAAGCTCCTATGCTAGTGATGTAAATAAACACCAAGACTCCCCTGGTACTCCGAGCTGAGTCAGGGCAGAGTCAGCTAACAGGGCCGCTAACTAGCTAAGGGCAGCTAGAGTTAGCAGCAGAGCAGTGCGCACCAGTCAGTGACTTTTGTGTTAGAAGAGGAAAGATCCATGTTGCAACAATCTGCTGATACTTTCATTGACAAGGTGCAGCTCCCAAATGGAGTTTGAGGTTTTAGGGGTTTTTTTTTCTGCGACTACCCAACTAATGAAAAGTTTGTCGACTAAGACTCTTATCACCGACTAACGGTGTAGTCAACTATTAGGGGGCAGTCCTAGTACAAATGTAGTTCTGAGGGAGAAGAGGTTGCTTAGGCCTACTGTGTATACTAAAACAGAAAGAGAAAATTGAATATGAAATTGCAAATACAAAGGTGGCAAAAACATTATAAGTGAGGCATAGAAGGTTTCCATATCAGTAAACTACTATACGTATCTGGAAGTGCAGCTGTGGTGACTGTATACAGTACAGAGCCTTCTGGTTAACATCTTGACTCTCAGTGGAGCCCTGTCATGTTCCCCCAACCACATCACTGTAATTCAGACTTATTATACACACAAACACACGTGTGTAGATTCCACCTCATTACTAGAGTGAAAGAGAGCGTATGGAGGCAGAAGGAATATGAATAACGTGAAAACAGAACAGACACCTCTGTGGTTTCACTCCGCTGACTCTCTGATTAACAGGAATGTTTTGGCCCCGAAACTCATAGTATAAGAGAGAGAGGGAAGGAGGAAATAGAGGAAGAGAGGAAACAGGGAAAAAGATGATGACTCATTGTAGGCTGATGGAGAGGCGGAGATGGCAAGAGGAGAAGGAGAGATATTGAGAAGATAGGGGCAAGTTTTCTCCCCTTGAAATCTTCATTAATATATTCAAATTGCTATCCTACCTGGGTGTCCTTTTTATTTTCCTGGATTTTTCATTGTAACAGATTTAAGCTTTATACAGGTTAATATCCATCATATCTCATAATCACCTGCCAAAACTTCCCCAGTAATAGAAAATACAATGTTCATTTAAAAGAAATTAGGTGGATTTATACTCCCTAGACATTTATCTTGGATTGTTTTGGATTTGTGTCTGACCTCACCTTGTAACAGAGGGAGGATGGGATTTTCTCTTTATTGCAGATTTTCCAGAGCTTTAGTTGTAACTCTACCTGGACCTTGTCATTCTGTTTCGATCATATCATCATGTTTGATATTTAAATTTTGAGCTTTTCCTTGATGAGATATACAGCCTTTAATGTACCTGGGTGTTTCTCATGGATTGATTTCTGACATGAAAATCTCTTGGCCAGTTTTAATCAATGCTATACTTTAATCATGCTGTCACTGAGAAAATCTGCATATTTTTCTGCCTGCACTGACAGTTTAGACTGGATTCAAAGTGTCATACTTTCAAGTGCCAACTTTTATAATAAAGTGATGAGATATTGAATTTAATTATTCTTTAGCTGTTCTTTATTCACCTGATTCGGTGAACTCATCTTTTCAGACCCAGATCTGTTCAGGGATTTTCACCCGCTTACTTTGGTTTGAGATACGATATTACAGATGTGAGTAGTGTTTTTAATTCAAACAGAGGATTCTGCTAACTTATATGCCAGTTTGTTGATGTTGGTTGTTACATCTGTATTTATAAAAAAATACATGCAGGTAAGACTGTGGACTTTTTGTCATCATAAAGGATATCTGGATTGATAGTTTGACATCATCAACAAAAGACGAGGGTCTGAAAAAGTGTCAGATCTCCTCCTCACAGATTTGACATATGGTCTGTTTTCTGCAGCTTCATGAAAGTTACATTGCAGTTCCCCATTGGTACACAGTATTTACAAAATTACATAGAAGTTATTTTTCCTTTACTCTAAAATGGCCCTCACTCACTCACTGTACCTATATTTAAGCAATACAATGAAATTACACCGTCAATCACAGGCTATATCATAAAGTGTTACCAAAAACTGATTATTTGTGTTTGTGTTTGACATATAACCTATATTTGAGGATCTTCAGCATCTTCTTGTTGGATTGCAAATGAGTTAAACTACAACCAGAGAGGCTGAAATGGAAATGAGGAAAGGCGTTTCTCAGGATTTGAACCTCAGCTAATTTCATTCTCCTCTGCTGGGTCTGTTTGTTATAATGGATACATTTGCGGTACAACATTGTGTTAGCCTACACAATGCATATTGTGCTTAACACACATTCATGCAAACACACTCACATACATAGTAATAATGGATGTGAATAGATGCCAAATATGCTCACCCCTCTCTCATTAATTCTCCTTCGGCTCTGGAGATTAAAAGCAGTCGACGTGCGGCAGCAAAGTTTGAGTTGACAATATATTTTGGAGCTACTCCAGTTCAGGTTTTAAGTGCATTGCAAACAGATGAGGAGTAGTTCAGTGAACAGTTTAAAACAGACTGACATATCGAGAATGTGAATTGGGACCTGTACAAGTGTGTAAATAAATTGTGAAAAAAATACTCCCTTCAGTTCCAAAAGGAAAGGCATTATGTTGGTTTGTTTCTCTGTGTAATAGTAATAAATACAGCCTACCTTCAGATTGGGAAACATTACTGGAAAGGCATGCTTGGACCCCATTTTGAATTATACATGAACATACTGTATGTGCTACTTATTATAAATAATCATACTGTGAACAAATTACATTTTTTTGGTTGGGAAAGTGAACATGGATTTTCTTACACATTCCACATCATCTTCAATGAATTCCATTTAGTAAACCACACTGAGAGGAATGTACTATTGTACATCAATAGTGCATTTGGAGTCTGACGTTCCTACACAGTTCAGATCTCCCCTCTGAAATTGAATCCAGCCCATTACAGGGCTATTGTGTGGCTCAGTTACTGTTGTGATAAGCACGAGTAAAAATATTTCTACCATATGGAAGTACATGCTGGAATAGAAATATCAGGCGAGGAGATTTACACAAATACCAACTGCTCTGTCAAGTTGTCTTCTTAAGAGACTCAATTCCCCCCCCCCCCGCAGGATCTCAGGTTATATTGTATATTGTGTCCTTTGTATAAGTACGACTAGATTCAACTCTTGTGAAGTCCAGCCTTCTCTCTCCATTGCTGTAGTCATTTAACGATTTGAGAAAACTTAAGGTTAAATCATCCTTTAATTGTGACAGGAAGAAGATCCCAGAGTTAACGAGAACAATGAATGAAGCAGCAGTTTTCTGAAGAGGGTAAATCTGCTTTCAGTGGAGGAACCGACAAACAAGACATATCTCATGATGCCACCAGCAGAGACATTTATTTACCCATAGTTGCGTAAAAGTGTAAAAGAGTTGCGTGACAAAGGATTTGGATTCTTTGGAAAGAATTTCTGATCTGAACTTGAATGTAAATGCCTTTACTTGGTCAGTGTTCAACCCTCTTAATTATTTCAGTTATACAGTATCTCAGCCAAGTACCAGCACATTAATTTTCTCATTACTACAGTCACAGATGGGAAGATTTTTAACTAACAGCAAACTGCTTCTATAGAGCTGTTTGCAAGCATTTAACTTTATCAGTGCTGGTGGTTGTGACCTTTCATCTGAAGTTTTCAGGCACAATAAAACTGCTAATGAAGGTTCTTTGAGAAGACTGTAAAACCATAATTAGGCCACAATTATTTTGGAAAGCATACCCCCAGTAGTGGAAAATGGTGGGAATGTAGAGTCATGGTGGAAAATGGCTTCATTGTTTTCAATCATTGTTTTATCTTTGTTCTTTCTTGTTCCTTGCCTCTGTCTCTCCAGTGCCCAAGTAAAATCACCAACCAACCAGGCAGAGAGTTTGGCAGCACAAAGGACTTCCCTGATTCGGTGCTGCAGTTTGCCCGCAATCACCCGTTAATGTGGCGGCCGGTGTATCCCGCCCTGCGCCAACCCGTACTTGTGAAGGCAAACATTCCTTACAAACTGAAACAAATAGTGGTGGACCGGGTGGAGGCAGAGGACGGGCCGTATGACGTCATGTTCATCGGCACAGGTGTGTGTGATTGTCTACATTTTCAAATTTGATTTTAAATCCAGACTTGCTTATGGTAAAAAGGTAATTGTGCTTGTGGTCTTCAGGATGACATTTTATTGAGCCCTGTGGAAAAATTGGATCGTAGGAGCAAAGAAGTATTTGGGATAGGATATAGAAATTCTGTTATTGTCCTGTCCCCTTGTCACTTACAGTTTGTGTTTGCTTGTCTGTCAGATGTTGGTACAGTATTGAAGGTCATTGCCCTGCACAGTGGAAACAGCCTGGAAACAGAAGAAGTCACACTGGAAGAGCTACAAGTCTTTAAAGTAAGTTTTACTCCATCATGAGTGTCAATAATTCTTTCTATGTTTCTCTCTGGTTTATCCTCAATCGTTTTTTTTTTAGCATTGTGAACACATTGTGAAATTCCTGAGATCAATTTTTTTATTAATTGCAGGTGCCAACTCCAATTACATCACTGGACATATCTGTGAAACGGGTAAGTTGATACACTGTATTTTATTTTATTGGACTTTAATATTTGTAACCCACAGAAAACAATCCACAAATGTGTACTATGATGCGCAAATATTTCACTATCTACAGATATGTATTTTTACATTTGTGATGTGTAAATAAAATACAGAGTGACTTCTACACACAAAACCGTATTTGCACATTTACAGATTGCTTTCTGTCAATTTGTGGGTCATGTTACATTTGTAACTTCCTTTTTACGCATTTGTGGAATTTTGTCCACTCTGTACCACAGAGATCTGTAAACAGGGATCTGTAAATGTGAGAGCAGTTTATTAGCTACACCAATAGGTAGCAGTAGCGACATTGCCTCTCATGAGTTGTAAGAAAATCCATTGCAGTACCCAGGGTCATCTATAGAAGACAACAACTTCTGCTTTTGCTGGACCACTGGACTCTACTCAGTCTAAATTTTTCTGTACAAGTGTATATAGTTTACTATTGAATACTTACTTACATTTATATTTAGATAAATAGACTACATTTGAAAGTACTGTTGTACCATATAATTTACTAACTTAAACCAACTATTATCTTCATCATACCATGCTTAATTGTTTCTCCTGTCATCACTTCCTACAGCAAGCCCTGTATGTGGGCTCTCCAGCAGGTGTGGCGCAGGTGAAGCTGCATCGCTGTGAGACTTATGGGAAAGCCTGTGCTGAGTGCTGCCTGGCCAGAGACCCTTACTGCGCATGGGATGGATCACTGTGCGCACGATACGTGCCCAACAGCAAACGCCGCTTCCGCAGACAGGACATCAGGCATGCAAATCCTATGCTGCAGTGTGTGGATCAGAATCTGAGTGGTAAGTGATACGAGTGGTACCTACAGTGGGGAGAACAAGTATTTGATGCACTGCTGATTTTGCAGGTTTTTCCTGCTTACAAAGCATGTAGAGGTCTGTAATTTTTATCATAAGTACACTTCAACTGTGACGGAATCTAAAACAAAAATCCAGAAAATCACATTGTATGATTTTTAAATAATTAATTAGCATTTTATTGCATGGCATAAGTATTTGATACATCAGAAAAGCAGAACTTAATATTTGGTACAGAAACCTTTGCTTGCCATTACAGAGATCAGACCTTTCCGGTATTATTGCCATTTTTGATCAATGAAGTAGTTTGGTGCCATATAGCATAGTAAGTGTGTTAGTGGATCTCACCTCACTGCACAGCGAGCTGCTAACAGATTAGGAAGCTAGTCAAAGTTACACAACACTGCCAGGCAAACCGTATCTTTTTCCTGTGTAGCTATATGGTTACCTTCAGGGCATGTCTATCAAGTAAATTTGCATACCGCAGCAATGTATGCACACACTCATACACACACTGGAGAAGAAGGGGCTTCCATTCATTTTAACAACAAACACCTGCGCTGTAGTAACGTTAAAGCTAAATTTCCACAGAAAGCGACATGAACAGCTGCGTGCATCCGACACACTACACACTACGCTCACAGTTTCTCTTGACTGTCCTTCAGTGTTACATTAGTCCAACATCGCCGAGACTGCTAGCCACATTAGCTGCGCAAGACACTAACGCTAAGTTTGCTAACCTACAAAACAAACAGTAAAACAACACAAAATATGTCCAACATGCCGCAACCCTGTACGCAGGATAAGCGGTTGATGATGGATGGATGGATGGCAACAGCCCTAGTCACAGTGCGTGGCTGTAATAGCCACGTACATAACCCATTGTAAAACTGCAGCCTTTTGTTTTTTACACCTGGGATTTTGTATGGATTAAACAAATGAGATATAACTGCTCATTTAGTTGTCCTGGATTTAAGGTCAGGTTCCAAACTTACTTGTATCTTATGCTAGTTTTTCCACATTCTTCTCAGGACAGTGTACAGTGTACATAACTGCAGTGGAGTCAGGGGGAGCTTGGCTCCTTAAAACATTAGCTTCCCTAAAAAAATGAAAACAGTCCAATATTATCAAACTTCACTCACTTTAACTAAAAAATCTGATAATAATGTGCTTTCTCAGTCCCGCTCAGTCCGCTGAATCACCATGATTTATTTAAGATAAAGCACAAGGGGAAATGCTGGACAAGCTTTGTACAGCAAGCGAACATTCCGTCCTACCTCATCTGAGTGTAAGAGGAGGTTCGCACACTGAAGAAGACCAGTGAGACTTCACTCTCGTGTATACCGTATGTGAGTCTGTAAACACTTGAAGTCCAGGGGAATATGCTACTGGACATGTGACAACTGGTGTTTGAATGTTAGATTGTATGTACAGTATGTGTTTGTATCTGTAAGGACCAGTGTACGTCTATGTGCCTCTTCCTCAGGGTGGAAGCCAAAGTGTGCTAAGTCAGATTTGTACAAGTCTGTCAGTTTATCCAAGCTTTGTGAGTCAAATGTTGTATAGTATATTAGACAGACAATACACGTTAACCCCTCGACAACACATGTCGGTTTACACACTACACATTTAGTGAATGTAGAATATAGCCTTGTACTTATTTCATACCAGACCTTAGACCTTGGTGTCTTTTGAGAGACATTTGTGTTTAAAAAAGGAAAATAGACAAATCAGTGTTTACTCAAAGTATTTACAGTAACTATACTTTACAGGATTCACTGTTTACAGCTTGACAGACATACTGTAAAGGTCCCTGACATTCACGTGGTTCAGTGGTTTGCTCAAGAGGACTTCAAGCTTACTTGGTGGATGCTTACAAACATTTTACTTAGACAGTAGTTCTTGATTTTTTATTCATTCACAATCTTTTAAATTATCTTTCTTTCAACCAGATGACTTTGATGTAACAGAAGACAGTGTGGTTTATGGGACAGAGAACAACAGCACCTTCCTGGAGTGTGTTCCTCGCTCTCCACAAGCTACTGTAACCTGGCTCGTCCAACGTGACGATCGAAAGGAAGAGGTAAGACAATACATAAATAGCCAGCAAAAGAAACTCAAGATAATAAAATGCCACCCTGTCCTAATATATCTATGATGGGAAGGTGGGGAAGCTTTGAGAGACAGATTAGGGGAGGAATGAAACTTCTGGCCAACAGTGGCCTGAGTAACTGCCTTTGAAAGTGGGATTTGCCTGTGAATGTGGCATGTAGTTGACACATTTAACAGCAATTTGACATATGGTTGAAATTAAGAAGTTATATTTCAAAGGAAAATGCACAACTGTTCATTCTCTTAGATAAACAGTGAATTCTTTACAAACCTTGACCACAAGCCACCGAAAGCTGAGGTGTCACTCAATGTCTACTGGTTACTGTGCTTTACTGTACTTAAACACAGTGTTGCAAAGTCCTCTTAAAGAGCTGCTTAGAAAATCATGCTGCTGTGTTTGCCCACACCCACAGTAATCATTCATTTGTTTGGGGTTATGTTTCTCCAAGCTTAACTGAGTGCCTCGGTCAGCCATGCAAGTATTAAGGCATTACCACCCCTCTCCATTTCCTTGCAAATAAACATTTGGCTGCCACTCCAGCTGACAAGGCTGCCATGTTTGCGTTGGCACAGAAAGAAAGTTAGACAAGCACAGTGATGGAATCTGAAGAAGGGAGACCCCCCCCCTTCAGATACAGGAGGTAGATTTAGAAAAGTAAGGTATAAATGAATAGAGGCAAGATGTTGGGTGGAGGTATGTTAGGAAAGAAAGAGAATAAGAGGAAAGTAAATGGCAGAGAAAGAGGAAAAAAAGTGACTAGATTTCATGGTACATTCTTGCTGTTGCAATTCAAGCTGAGAAAACAGTACAAAGAGCCCTGTTCTCCCTCTTTTATTTCTCATACGTTGAGTTGGATTATAAGCACTTTGCTGTAATCTCATAAAGATCCTACATATAGTGGCTTTCAAATTCCTATTTGTCACGTCTTTCTTGTTTATCCACTTAACCACTTAAAACCTTGGTATTAATAGCCTTTGGAACTTTTTTATACTAGAAAAACAAATTTCCAAACTGTAATGCAGCCATTTTGTTTTTATTCACGAAGTGTTAGCGAAAGCATCAACTTTCAATTAATTTGGTTTGAATTTAAAAATAACACTTGACTCGCAAATTTGCACGCAAAGCTTAACTTAAAGACTCTTTGCTGTTTGAAGGAATTCCCATTCGTTTCTTTGGTATTGCATTGCAGTAATGTGACACAATGACATTATGTGATAATCCCAGTCCAATCTGAAACACAACTACATGGTACTTTGAATGTTAGTGATACTATCCCAAATCCTTTTTTTCTGCATCATGTCATAAGATCTTAACAATATGTTGTTTGATTATGTATAAAAGTTAAGAATAGACACATATTCTCCCTCTGTCTCACCCAGGTGAAGCTAGACGATCGTGTGATGTCTACAGAGCAGGGCCTCCTGTTTCGTCGTCTCTTCCGCCAGGATGAAGGCGTGTACATCTGCCGCTCCCGAGAGCACGGCTTCACACAGACCCTAGCCCACCTCACCCTCGAAGTCCTTCAGGGGGAGACTGTGGATGAGCTCATGGCACGTGACAATGGTGGCCTCTCTGACTCATTCAAAGATCGGTCGACAGGAGGCTACAGGGCCTGGATGCCTTGTAGCGCATACAGCAGGGGCGGCTCATCAAGCCAAATGGGCCAATCACGCACATGGTTCAAGGATATCATGCAGCTGATTGGGCCATCAAACCTGCCTCACGTGGAGGAGTACTGCGAGAGGATGTGGTGCAACGACAAGCTGAGGAGGAAACACAAGAGCATGTTGGAGAAATACCGCCAGGCACAGGAGAGCGCCAGGAAGGCTCGTAGCAAGAGCTCCGGTGAACGTAACCGGACGCCAAGGGATCTTAGCGCATGGGAGGAGTAATGGAGAGAAAGCAGCGGGGGGAAAAGAAGGAGAAAATGAAAGACGATAAAGGGACAAAGATTACAGTACTGAACCTAACAGAATGGATTTAATGAAATCAGTGTATGTGTAGGTGAGGTGCCAAGGGTTGGTTCTGGATTTGGCCCAAAAAAGACAGAAGTGTTCGGTTGTCTGGACAGTAGGAAAGACAGCAGGAAAAAAAAATGATATTGAAATGAACGGGTTGTTGCTGATGTAATAATGTTGATAAAAGAGGAGACAAGAGTCTTTCAAATACACTCTGGTTGCCAAGGACTCCTCCCGCTCTTACACTTTAGCTCTTGTGTCTACTGTTATTGAAATGACAGATTTGGCTTTCATCAAGTCATTTAAAACCTTAAAAATGTCACAAACCGATTTATAAAATGTATGCATGCCTGTGGGCTGACTTTACCGACAGCTTCGTGGACTCTTTGCACTCATGGAAAATTGGGGCTTCAAAAGAGAGGGACATATACTGTATTTACTTACTTTGTATCTTTGGACCACAGAAGCAAGTTTGACAAGTGCAGCTCTGACACACACGGACACATATACTTTCTATTTGTTTCTCTCACTCCCAAAGTTGGACGCATTTCAGACAATGCAATCACTGGATGCATCTCCTTCTCAATTGGTATTTAATGGTGCACATTTCGTGACTTGTTCTGCAAGTGTTTTAAAGGAATATTCATATGACTTCAGTTCAACTGACTTTGTAAAATAATTAGGGACATATGCAGCTAATGCTCACAGGCTTACTGTATCTGATCTCGCCAGTTTAGATGGACACACACACACACACACACACACACACACACACACACACACACACACACACAAACAAACACATAAACTGAAATCACACTCATCACACTGAATGCATAAAGCTCAACTAGCTCAAACTGGAAGCTGTAGACGACTGTTGATGGTTCAACAGATTAAAAGGCACATTGTTGCTTTATTTTTACTGCTATGGGTTAAACTTTCCTCTCAAGACCAGCTACAGATCACAATTCCCCCCTTACTGACCTTTAAAGGGATATTTCACAGTGGTTTATTTTCATGCATACCGTAACACCTCCTGGAAGGTACCTAATGACCACAGTCGAGCTCTGATATTTCCATGGGGATCCTTATGCAGCTCAACTTAATGAAAACTAAGTCAGTGACATAAACATCAATCCAGCAAGTAGGCCTACAAATAATAATTTTTTATCATTTGAGTAATTGTTTAGCCTAAAACTGTGAAAAATGTCCATCACAACCACAGCCCAAAGTGACATCTTCAAAGTGCTTTTTTCTTTCCGACCAACAGTTAAAATCCAGCCATTAAAGGAGAATTAAAAAACCAGGTAACCTCATCTCATCTTTTAAACATCCACTAGTCTTTTTTCCCACAGTTCCTGTGTGCTGTAGCTCTCTAGTGACAACAGAGGGAACAATAGAGGGGTCAGCGGTATTGGCCGACTCCTTTTGTGCTTTCTGCTTTGTAAACACTGGTTTTAAGATGGTTCATGGTTTGAACACATGATAATCCACACTGTTATTATCTTCAGTTTTGTTGTTAAAATAGAACTTTTACAGTTAATGAAACCAAAAAAGGTTTTCCTTCCACAGGTAACATGTGGAGAAGAGAACAGAGGGTGGAATTAAATAATGAGACAGAACAAAACAAATAAAGAACAGAGCGGATAAAGAAAAGAGTGGCCTTTAATAGGGTGAGATATGAGCATTGGAACCTAAAGTCAAATTTGGCTTCAAATGTAGAAAAAAGAGTGGAGGTCAGGAAAGACAGGCAAGGAGAACAGATGCCAGTGAGGGCTGTGTGTGGATGGGAGTGAGATACTTAGGTGCTTCAGTAATATAATATGAAATATTAAAACAATAAACTGAAGAAGAAACATAATGATAATATTGTGTTTTTTTGACTAAATGAGTTTTAAGAGTTGCTTTCAACTGTATCACATATGTAACATTTTGAAAACATTGATGGAGGTTTTGGAGTTGCATTACTAGTGCAGTAACCTCATCCCACCATGCAGGTCCTGTGGAGAACTGTGCAATTGATGGCTACATGCAGTACACCTAATAAACAATGGAAAAGATGTGCCTACATGGTTTCCATACTTAAGTTGCCAGATGAAGTACTTATGAAATATTAATTTAATCTGGAAACTTTAATCTTTGTCCCTGTATGTGTGTATATGTAAGAAATCCACGTTTATACTGTCTACATTTTTACTGTGATCAGTTAAATGTTGGCGGTGAAGTCAAAAAATAATAATTTTCTAGTTATAAACTCTACAAAAGTTAACCATGCCTACTGAATTAATTTAAAGACAGCTACACACATTGAGCATAATAATCAGCTGACCTCCAATATGGCTGCCAGAGGGTTAAATCCTTTTAATATGTGTACATATGGAAGATGGTATGTCTATTCTGGGAGCCCTTTCATTGTTAAAAATGAACCAGGAAGTTACACTAATGGCTGAATGGCTTCTCCGAAGACAATACAATAGAGAGGAGGAGTGAAGCTGTCGAGAAGAAAGGAGCGAGCTATTCAAAAAATAAGGTACTATAAACATCTTAAAGGCTGTATTTGGAATTTTTAAAACCGATAATCCCTATAAAAACCCATTTCCACAATTCATCAGTATAAAGTGAGTATTATTATTTTTTTAGTTTGGGGATTGTGAGATTCCACTTAGTGTTTTCTCTAAAAATATTGCTTATGATGTGTATCTAAACTTAAAGAAAATGATAGAATGACCTAGAGTTAAAAACTTGTACTTGGTCTGTTCTGCTCTGTTCCATGAAGATATTAAGAATAAGTAACTTTTTGTTGTGGTGGTCTCATTTGTTTGTTTGAGTTTCTGCTTCTCTAAACCCACATCATGATACTTAATTACTGTCATCAGAAAATAAAAATCTCTGTTTAAGGTATAACTTTTGTGATTGATTGTAAACTTCTAGTGTGTAAAATTATCTAAAAATACAAGTTTCCATTTTACAGCAACTGTGATAAGATAATATGGAACCGCCAAAATAAATGCTGACACTTTTTTTCTTGACAATGTTTTCAGACTTGTGAAAGAAAAGTCATTCTTCAGGATGGAATTTTGCGCATTTTTGCAAATATGTGATTTTAGTTTCTGACAAACATGTGCATCATTGATTAAATGTTTGTTATTTGTGCATGTTCAAACCATACATTGTAAAGCCTTTAAATGCATTTCAGTTGTTGTACAGTTGTACAAAGTGTGTTGTAGTGTTGTTGCATACGTTTATATTTGTTTTACTTACTCTTGAGCTGCCCACTCTATAGCTAGTTCAGTGCAGTTTGTCAATTTTTAAAAAACTTTAATCGAAAACACATGTTGAATTTCATACTTATCAGTGTGATCAATGTTTGTAATAACTTCTGTAAATTTGGGGCAGGGAAATTACACAGGTGATTTCTGTGATTAGTTGTTCCTCCTGATTGGAAGTGCATTAATTGATAAATACCTGCACATGCGCTGATCATCACTGCTACTCTACATTAAGCTGGCCAGAGGTACAGTCAATAACAGACAGCAGATGGAAGTGCAGTAGAAACAACCATGAACAAGCACACTATAGCTGTTTTGAACTTGAAAGGTTCAACAAGCCTGGTTCTCCTTGTAAAACAGTCCTTACTTCAGGCAACAATACAGTTAATGTAGACTGCAGGCTGGAAAGTGTAAGGAAAATATAACATTAAATTGGTGAACTGTCTCTTTATTGTACTGTAAACGTGTGCTAGTTGTGGGGCCTCTGACAAAGCCTGACAAAGTATTTATGTTTTATTTAAGTGTCTTTCTACCATGCATGCTATGTACTTGTATGCTATTTAACAGCATTAAAGGTTGATGTTCTAACATAAAGGAGGTGGTCCCTGGCTGAGTATTTTTACTTACAATTTGGCGGCATAGGGGAGTTTATTTAGAATTTTGGCAGGACAAGACTAATGGCGCCAGTGGCATAAACAGAGACAAACAGCAGCGGCCTGAAATGAGCCACTTCTATAAAGCATAGCTTTTACTGCACTGAAACAAATTCATGCTCTGTGTAATACTGAACAAACATCCTTGTTGCAGACTGCACACCTGCAACAAGGATGTTTGGCATTTAATGTCACGGTGAAACAGACTGGCTCTACTTCCCATGTCTGCTTTCATTTATTATTTTTTCTTTGTGTGTGCATGTTTTGTATTTGTTTCTATACATGTGAGGGCCAAAATGTTAATGACCAAAAGAAAATGAAGACATTTTATCTTACTTGGCTTTAAATTTTAATGTGAAAATTTGAATAGCGTAACTTGGGTAAGGATAACCCTACATGATAGGTTTATGTCAACCTAACCTTAGTGTTAGAAAATAAATGCTGGCCATGATGGTCCTCATACTGTAGGTATAATGACACAAATAAGTATCAGTGCACAGGTTCTGGTATTGGTATGTTGTGTGTACATTCTCAAAGGTGATCATATTAGCAGGAGGACATGTGTGTGTGTGTGTGTGTGTGTGTGTGTGTGTGTGTGTGTTGGCTCAGTTACTGGGTTGGCCATGCATGTGATTGAAGGGAAATTAGGTTGTAACAGATGTGGAACTGTGCAGTAACAATGGCTGCTTATCACTTCAGCAAACAGACCATAATCTTATAAAACCAAACCTGCAACTGAACCCACTAAACGACTTCACACCCTAACAATTACTGCAACCACAAATGCACACATGCATGATGAATGTACACACATGCCTTGCACGCACAGATGTGAAGATGTGCATGCATAAAAACCCACAAACACAACTGTTCACAAACACTGCCCTGTATAAAAAAGAATGCCAGTTCTGATCTCTCCACTGTATAACAGGGACCCAAATTATTATGGCTAAAGTTTCAAAAAACACATTTTAACATTGACTGCCCATGTACACAAATGAGCCATATGTTTGAGGGGGAAAAAACACATACACACACACACACACACACACACACACACACAAAGAGCCAACTTATTTTAACTTTATTTATGGGTCAAAGTATACTTTTCAGTAAACTGTTGAAACAAGTTGAGTTACATTGGAAATAATGAAAACTATCTCACGCTGTGACAAAGCCCTTGCTTTTAAATAAGGATTTAAATTAAATATATTAATGAAGCACATAAAGTAAAACAAAGAAAAATCAATGGGAGGTGAAACATTATGAGTTCTCCCTGAGGTCTATTGCTATGTTATTCCAAAATAAAACATTATGTATACATTTCATATAAACATACAGCAATGCCATAAAAGCAAATGATAGTGTTTAGTTTTTTTGTTCACTTTTTGGATTAGGATTACTTTTAAAGATTCAGGGTGAAAGTCTTAGTGGATTCTGGTGGGGTTGCGAATTGTTGCAAAGGGTTGCGAATTGTTGAAATCATAGTTATGTATATTATATTGCATTTCTGTCAATAGATCCTCCTAAATATTACACACTGAACATTTAAAGGGGCCATGTGTAGCTTTCAGTGGCCTCTGTTTCTTTCAGGCTAAAATCAATCAAAATTAGTGACATAATACCAGTACACAGGATAGTAATAGGGATTGTGGTAACTGGTAAAGTAATGTGGCAAGCCATAACATCACAAGTATAGTATTTTGCAATGGATAACGTTAGCAACTGGTAGGTGTTAGCAGGCGAGCTAACGTTATCTAACTTGAGCCAACTAAAACACAAACACAATATATTTCACAAGATTTGCAGTTATGTTATCTTAGTCTGTTTGTGTCAATAGCTCCTACTAGTATCTGTTGTTGCTTGTAAATCTTACAATTTACTGATTGTATGTGTCCCTCAAATTTAAGTGGCTTTGGATAAAAGCGTGTGCCCAAATCAGTAAATGCAAATGCAATAGGACGAAAACAAACAATGGGTAATTTTTTTAATCCGAAACAAAGCAGAGGTCTCTCCGTGACTCAAATACCTTTCCAATTTTAAATGTTATTTGTGCATGTTCAAACCATACAAAGCCTTCAAAGGCATTTCAGTTGCTGTACAGTTGTGGTGTTGTTGAATACTCTTTCTTTATTTCCCCCTTTTTGTAATGTACTGTTTCTCCTTTAATTTTTTCACCTTAATTTAAAGATTGGGTACTCATACAGGATCAACATGTTCAACCGCTGCCACTACAGTGTAAGTGCTGCAAGTATACTTTTTTGGTAATTTTCTGAATAAGGTACAAAAAAAAAGGGTCTCTCTTAGAAATTCAGATTATCCAGCTCACATAGGTGCATAATCTCCCAAAGGCAGAACTGCCAAAGTGACCCAAATCAGATTTTTTAAATTTATGTGACTTAGATCAGTTTTTTACAACCGTGTGAACAGCCCAAGTCACATGGAATTGAGAAAAAAGCCTGCTGTGTGAAACTACTGGTAAACTGCTGTGGCTGAAGAGTGAACTGCTAACACGCTAGCCAGCCAGGAACATACAAGCATTTGTCTCTCAAACTCCCCAAGATTATTTTTGTTTTCTCTGTGGCAATCTACTGGCAATTGTTTTTTAGGATTGTACATAATTTCATAAACACACTTGCTAAGAAATGGGACAATAACACTATTACACTAACACAGTACTTATTTTACCAGAGACTCACATGGCTCACAGCTGTCAAACTATACTTTGACAGAGAATGGGTTGTATAAAAGTGCAACACAATTAAGTCACAATAGCTTCCTCCATTTTGGACTCCCCATTCTCTCAAGTCAGCACAAGACTGCTTGCTGTTGGTCAACGGAGCAAATTTGCATGTCTGTCCATCAAAGTTGAGTTAATGCCAAAAAATGCCACAGTGAGCAAATCCACAGCTGTGGTAATTCAATTGGAATGAACAGATTTTTGCACTGCATACCTTGCAGTGTATGGTTTACAGGCTATATTCAGGAATGTATATCTCATTTGATCTTTCACTGTGCATCTTTGCATTGTACTATACACAAAAACAGTGCTGTTATCATTAGTATATTTTTCTCCATACAAAAAGCAGCTGGTGGACTAGAAAAAACCCAGACATGACTTTCCAAGCGCTATAAAGTGAAGTGAACTGGACTAAACAAAGTAGCCACAGGGTTCAAACATCTGCATCTGTTCATTTAACACCTATAGTGAACTGTGCTAATGCGGAATGACCTGTGGCTTTAGTGTGTGTGTGTGTGTGTGTGTGTGTGTGTGTGTGTGTGTGTGTGTGTCAGTCACACTTCATTAGGCAGCAGCAGGCCTCACACTACACAGGTGTCTAGGGCCATGCTGCTCAAATTTTATGATATTTTTATACATACAGCATTTTGGGAAACACTTTATTACTTTATATTTTAATTCATCCAGCGGGTTGATTCAAAACAAGATCTAGCACCTGGAAAAACTGTTTTGAATGAATCGATTTGGTGATTCTCAATCATTATGAGGAATAAAATACATCTTTACAACCACAGCTAATCCAGTCTTTAGCTGACACAAAATACAGAGTGACCCCACAATCAACTTTGTAAAATGTTGTATATACAAACACAAATGTATGCATACAACCACAGACACATTTAAAAAAAAAACATAATCACAATTTCTTCTTACCAAATTACACACTAACTGAGACAAACCTTGCAATTAAGTTGCTTTTGGTTATTTGTCCTTGCTTTATGCGCGCTTAGTACAATCTTTACTTTCAACTAGTAAACTTCCGATTATGGATGTGGATGATAAAGCGTTTATTCATGGCTATGCTAACTTGGTCACAGTAAAGTACAATGATAGCTGGAATAAAGTTAAAGACACATGTTTTCTGAACTCACCAGGTAGTTCAACCTCCTTGCTTTCTTTTCTCCCAGCAATGTCCAGTTTTGTCCGGATTTTATTTAAATATGAAGTCGTAGTCCGACAGAGCTAACAACACTAACAACAACAGTGGAACCGGATGTGCATGGAAGCTAGCTGCTGAGAAGCTCCAGTGAAGATACATCAACGTTGAAATCCCAAAAACTAAACTAAAAAGCTAATTTAATAAAAGCAGTTTACTCCGAGCAGAATCCAACCGACTACGGGTGTTTATTTGTCCAATGGTTGTAGCGCTGCTCCCTGCTCCTCTCCCCCAAGTTTAGCAGCTCTCAGCCGACCAGCAGATCAGTGTCATGCGACTTTTCTCGCTTGAGTTGAAAATATTTAACTCATGCGAATTCCTTTGCTTTGCCTTTGCGTCGCCGGCCCCGCGTGGCTTTGCACCGCCCGACAGGAAATCAAGGTTCTACGCGTCTTTGCATTGACTTTGTATGTCAACTCACTGCCCCGAACGCTCGCTTTGCTTTTGGTCTGAAAGCACCATAAGCCTTGCACACAATCTTTTTTTTTCATTAATAAATCATTTAAACGCATATGGTTCATGGTGTGGTCCTTGCTAATGAAAGAGGTTAATGAAATTGTCTAAGGAGGACCTGTAGTTGGTTAAAAAGTTGATAATAAAATGAAAAGGAGCTGTGATTTCAGTGTGCAGGTACTCATTGTTATGCAGTTTTCTTTAACCTTTATATCCAGCACCAGCCCCACTAGGTTTTGTACGGATTAATTACAAAATATAGTTGGGGTTTGTCTCCAGACTAAATCAAGAAAACTAACCAACTTTGACTTCATCTACTTAGTTTGCATTATTTATTAGTTATTGTTGGTCATTTTTATTGAGCAGTTGAGTTTGGTTTAATTACATATTGACGTTACAGATTTTTTAGACTTAAAAGGAGAGATCAAACTATTGGGGCTATACATCCAGGTTTAGGTATATAGCTTCTTATTTGAAAGTTTCAGCTGCACCTGTCATCTTACGGCTGTCTGAATTGTAAGAAATGTTTGTC